CAGGGGCCGTGGGGGTGAGTGCTGCGGGGACACTGGGGCCACGTGGGGCCAAGTGCTCCCTGCCCGTCCCTCTCTGACAGGGTCGTGTCGCTTTCTGTTGCTACTCCTCCCCCGGGATAATTTTTCCATCGGTTTTTAGAGACAGTGGGAGGGAGGGAAGGAGGGAGGGAGGGGAGAGAAACTTGGATGTGAGGGAGACGCCTCGGCTGGCTGCCTCCCGCACACGCCCCGGCCTGGGCCGGGCGTCGAGCCTGCAGCCCAGGTACGTGCCCTTGACCAGGGATCGCACCCAGCCCAGCCCCGCTCTCGGGTGTTGGGTTCGGATGAGAAAGCCCAGTGGGGGGCCCTGGGAGGCACGGCGCCCGCTGCGCCCTGGGGTCGGCCCGGGCACGGAAGGAGTAGGCTCCGTCCTGAGGTCCGGTCCTCTTTCCCTCTCAGTGTTTCACTGGCTGCCCTGCCGGGTGGGGGGGCACCTGGTCTTCAGCATGAGCAGTCACCAGGGCCCCCGGGCGCTGACCCCGGGGGGCAACCTGAGCCAGGCCCCTGCCTGCCCGCCCCGGCTCTGAGGACCCACCTCCCTCCCCTGCCCCCGTGGGGACCACGCTGGGGTGCTGCCCCTGGAGCCGCCTCCCCCTTGGCAGGTGCAGGCCACCGGGCGGGAGCTGTTCCAGCAGGTGTGTGACAAGGCCAGCCTCAGAGAAACCTACTTCTTCGGCCTCAGCGTGGTCAGAAGTAAGTTAGTTCTGCCCTCGGACCCTGCCCTTGGTCCCACCCAAGGGATCCCCCCANCAACCTGAGCCAGGCCCCTGCCTGCCCGCCCCGGCTCTGAGGACCCACCTCCCTCCCCTGCCCCCGTGGGGACCACGCTGGGGTGCTGCCCCTGGAGCCGCCTCCCCCTTGGCAGGTGCAGGCCACCGGGCGGGAGCTGTTCCAGCAGGTGTGTGACAAGGCCAGCCTCAGAGAAACCTACTTCTTCGGCCTCAGCGTGGTCAGAAGTAAGTTAGTTCTGCCCTCGGACCCTGCCCTTGGTCCCACCCAAGGGATCCACCCGGGGCGCTGGCCTCTTCTGGGGTTGAGTCTGAAGGCTCCCTGCTCCCCTGGCCCCTGGGGGCCACGTCTGCTCCAAACCCCGTCCCCCTGAATCCTGGCTGGTTCACACCCACTGGTGGGAACCCGGAGGTCGCCTGTCCTTGTGCCTGCAGGAGGCCCGGAACCCCACGTACACGTGTCACCCACCCCCCCCACCGGACGCTGAGCGGCCCACCTTCCCCAGGGTCAGTGCTGAGACAAGCGTCCCGCACAGAACACACCTTCCTCCCTCGGAGGTTCTGACTGCGGGTTACAGCTTCAGACGGGCTCACAGGGTCCAGCACAGACACGGTTCACATTGTCAGAGCGGCCACCTTGCCCGGCCACGTCGCGTGGGAGCGCCTGTGGGTGCTGGATCTCACTGGCTGTTAAATCTGACCAGAACTGCGTCACACACTTTCGTTGACACTTTTTAAAACGTTAGTGTCAGTGTGTTGAGAATCCTGAGCCGGACCAGGTCTCAGAGGCTGTGGGGGATGGAGGTCACCTCCCAGGGGGCCAGGGCCCAGGGTGGCCCCTCCAGCCTTCAGCCCTTCTTCCTCTCAGTGTCCACTCCTGTTTCTCCTTCCCCGGCTCCTCCCGGGCCATGGGAATCACCCTTCACTCAACGTGGACACTGCACGTAATTTTTTCTAATCGACTAGTTAAAACCGCGGGAACCGTAGGACACAGGGTGGCCCAGAGTCCACGTGGTGGGAAAGTGGGTCTTCAAAGAGAAGCGCTCTCCCTCCTCCCGGGACAGTGACAGGGAGGCTCTCTCGGCTGTCTGTTCCTCTTAGGAAAACTCTTCCACTTTGCCAGCTGATAAAGAAAACTCAGGGTCGCAACATCCCCAAACACAGAAGCACGTAGTTTAGAAAGGCGGGTCCGTGAGGGCCTTCCCGGTGGGGCGAACACCACACGCTTGCCGACTCGAAGTGGTGAACTTGGTTCCAGATTTGTAGGCATTTTTTAATTTTTGGAGGACATTCCACAGCCCGGGGGGCCCAGGAGAGGGTGAGACCTCGTGGACAAGTTTTGCTGAAGGGCTTCCCTGGACGCTGTGACCAGTAGCAGGCGTTGGTCTCAGTGTCTGTCTTTCTCGACTTTGGAAGCCACCTGGTGAGGCCAGCGGCCGACCCCCAACATCAGGGCGCCAGCCCACGGAGCCACAGCCGCCGTGGTCGGACTGTGCCAGCCTCGCGCACGTGTGCCAGACGGGAGCCGGAACGGTGGGTGGCTCTGAGCAGCCCCTGCTTCTCTTTCTAGACAATGAATATATGTTCATGGACTTGGAGCAGAAGCTCAGCAAATACTTCTTGAAGGACTGGCGCAGAAACCTGCAGAAGGTACGTGCCAGGCGGGAGGGCACGGTGGAGGCGCCCCAGGGCCGGGGCTCAGGGGGCAGTGCTCTGGGCCCTGCGCAGAGGGGCCGCCTTGTGACAGAGCTGCGGCAGGTGGCACCTGCGGCCCCCGGTGTCCCGGTGCTGTCTCAAGGGAAGCCAGCCCCGTGGGCCTTGGCACTGCTCTCGGGCGCCAGAGACAACACTGCGCTCGGTTTCTCCTTTTCAAGCAGTCAGCTAGGTCCGTGAGCGACCCTCTGCCAAGGCCTGAGCTGAGGGTGAGGCTGGGCGTGACCCTGTCCAGCTGTCACCATCCGCATGGCCCTTCCTCTCACCCCCACAGGGCAGGAGATCCAAGGCCCCCTTCGTGACCTTCCTCCAGGTACAGTTCTACGTGGAAGACGGACGGCTGATAAGGTACCTGTTGGCGTAGGGACTGTCCCCGGAGCCGGGGGCCCAGCAAGGGGACAGAAGCCGTGGTTGTGTGGAAGGTTCTGGAGAGTGAGGGTGGGAGGTTGTGTGGGAGGCTCTGGGGGAGGCAGGAGTGGGCAGTGGAAGGGGTGGGCCCGTGGGGTAGCCTCCCCTGCTGTGGCGCCAGCCGTGGTCCGCAGTGTTGGAAGACCTTGCTCTTCTCAGAGCCCAGTTTCCCACCCCCTTAGGTTCAGGACCCATCCTTGGGAATTCGCATCTGTCCCGGGGTCAGCGGGTCCAGGGCCCCTCCACGGGGCTGTGGGGTTGGTGGTGGGTCCCTGGCCGGGGAAGGAGCCTGGCCTGGCGCGAGCAGAGCTGAGGCTCCGGCTTCCCAGGGGCAGTGACCAGCAGCAAGGTCACGTGTGGCACTCCCAGAAAGTGGCCTGTGGTTGGGAAGGAAAGGTCGTGAGTAGCTGGTGGGCAGGGAGGGCCTGGGGCTCCGGGGCCCCGTCCCAGACGGCAGGAGCCGCCCCTTACCAGGCCGCCTGCTACCTCCCAGCAACAGGACCGCCAGGCACCTGTACTATTGCCACCTGAGGGAGCGGGTGCTGAGGTCCCAGTGTGCCTACCGCGAGGAGGCCTACTTCCTGCTGGCTGCCTACGGGCTGCAGGCCGACCTGGGCAACCACCGGGACCGCGCCCATGTGGGGCGCTACTTCGAGCCGCAGGCCTACTTCCCACAGTGGGTAAGGCTGCGGGGCAGGGCGGGGCTGGGTGGAAGCCGGGGAGGGGGCAGCTGGAGGGCCTGACACACCTGTGCCAACCTCAGATCATTGCCAAGAGGGGCAGCGCCTACCTCCTCAGACACGCACCTGCTGTGCACCGCGAGCAGCGGGGCCTGAGCCCCAGGGAGGCCGAGCTGCGCTTCATCAGGGAGGCCTGCCAGCTGGAGGACGTGCCCGTCCACTTCTTCCGGCTCTACAAGGTCACGCCTGGCAGCCACGGGGGAGAGGGGAGCCCAGGCCACCGTGGAGCCGCCCGGGGAGGGTCCCAGATGCGTGGCCAGGACACTGACCCCGTGCCCTGTGCAGGTGGCCATCACAGGAGTGCTGTGGCCCCAGTGGGCACAGTCACCCGCAGGGAGTGCCCTGGGACCTGCCCAAGAGGCTCTCCCACGATGAGACCACCCCACCTAACCTGGGACAAAGGGACTGTGACCAGGGGTGTCTGCTGTCTTCCTGCCCGTGTCCAGGGCAGCTCTGCATTTGTTCTGGGGGAGGTTAGATGAGTCCTGTCAGTGGGGAGTAGAAGTCAGAGAAAGTGGGAACCCTGCTCGTCCCTGGGGAACCCACCCACC